CATCCCCATCCTTTTGGCTTACTGTTTATAGCTCCATTTACTTATTAAGTCTGGAAGAAACAAGGGAGACACATTCATTATGTGCTTTCTGGCACTATTGGGAGCACATGGAAAGCGAGTAAGACCTAACATCTTATTTGCAGGCACACTGAAGGCCTACAGTCAGCTCGGGCACAGCACTGGAAAAGGAATTTTCAGGAGGAAGCGCAGAAGTGGATTCCAGGCAGCCAGGGCCAAGGCAGACAAAGCTGCCAAAACTAGAGCCACAAGCGGCCCCAGGGAGAGTTTGGAGAGGCTGGTGTGATGTTTATTGCTCAGACAGCAGAGCTGGGTGGTGCAGTGCGGGACAGGAACTGCATTCTGCTGGCTGTGACTTTAGTGGTGGTATCTAAAGATGTCTGCAGACTTGGTGTCTCCGTCTTTATCATGGTGCCAGAGGGAGCAGATTGTTGTTCCCTTATCTCTTTAACGAGAAACCACCTTCCCCTGACAGGTCACAAAGCACAAGAGGCTGCCTACTTCATTAATCACAGGCTCCATTGCATGCACAGAAGCTAACACAGTTCTCTGCCCAGGTACAAGCAGAGGAAACAAGTCATAGCAATATGGGGTAGGGACAGTACCCAATTGCTTTCCAGTGTGAGTAACATGTTGGCATCAGCTGCTGTGACCTACCAACCTCCAATTACTTAGTAGTGTTTTTCTCTCCTTCTCCTGACAGGGATGAGGAATTGGTTATTTCTGAGCATGAACAGTAAATGTAGCCCAGACACAGTCAAATGCAGGAAAAAAAGAACTACCTGACATATTGCAGACTCCTGGTGCCATGCTATATACAGGTTCAAACAAGGTAGAGCTTGTATTGAAACCTTGTCTGTAGAAATGGAGAAGAATCCAAGCATATCTTAAATCCACGTGTCTGTAGCTTCAGCTTCTATCACCAGTGAGTGACTGAAGTTAGTCTGTTTTGTGAACAGCAGACTGATGGTTGGCTGACACAATTACACAACACCAAGGGGACTTGTCCTAGGCATTGTACAGAGGAAGAGAAAAAGGCACAGACTGCCAAGATGATGTTGTAAAACAGGTAACAGCTACAACACCTAACGCGTTATTAGCCTACTAAATACCAGTCATTGAAAGCTTCCAGGCTCTACAGCCATGGAATAACATGACTGGAAAGCAAAAATGGCCTACTATTTCTAGCCACAAACTAGACAGTTTAGCTACTGGAAACAGCTTGTCTACACAGCACTGCTGCCCCACTATTTACCCAGCTTCCCAGGAAAGCCTCTGGGACTAGAAATCTGCAGATAGGCAAACAAGCTAGCTTACAGCTGGCTCAGGCATGCCTGCATTCAGTGATTACAGTCCAGTTAACACCATTAAATCGTTTGGAAGAAAGTGCTCAGAAGAAAGTAGGCAGCTCAGAGATTTTAAGAAGTATTATTTAAGTTGCTTCCCACATCACTTGCTTCGCTACAGCTGCTGGTTCTATAAATTGCCTGCATAAATCCAAGCTAGTTCTGTCATGCATCTCAAACTGGAAGACAGACAGCAGTAACTTTATTCTGGCCAAATAAAGCTTATGTCTGACCACATTTATTACTTCTGTTTTACTTGTCTGGTTTCTCCTTGGAATTTCAAGAAGACAAAATACAATTAATTTCTTTTCTAAAAATATTGTAAGGACTGAAATGTATTATAATAATATCTGCATTTCAGGTATGTGCAAACTTACCTTTTTATCAGCTGTATTTCAGTTGCTTTTGTCCAGTGCTCCAAGTCTTTTTGAAATTGGTGAACTTCATAAAATGTATGTTAGCACATTATCTCCATATATAGCATTTACTTTGACAAACAGGAGGCTTAATAAAACTAAATGAAGAAACAGACTGTGTTATCTCTGACCTCAAATGAAACCCCAGACCTCATCTCAGGGTCAAGGTCAAACGGAAGAGTTGGGTGTAAATACAGAAAAAGACAGACGGCTTTTAATTATACACTAGTTATTATGAGACATTCAGTAGTTTAGAAAGGTTCGTCCACCTGTTTCAATTTACCCCAAGTGCTCACAATCCATGGTGAATGCCAATACAACAACAAAAAAAACCAACTGCCATATGGACACCTAGATACATGTCATACACGTACTGAACACAGCAACCACCGAAATATTCATTCCCTGTCCACCTAAGAAAATTTTGTACTGTTGCTATTATTCTTATTGGAAAAAAATGAATGTGTAACTGTGCCAGCAGGCAGGATGGATTGTGACAAATCACATACAGAAAACAACAAATCTTAAACATACCAGTAGCCTTCAAAGACTGAACATCCATTATGCTCTTGCACAGAATGGCAAAGACATCTTTGCCATTGAAAGCCTGAGCATGTCAAAAACACTGTTTATTCTAATTTGTAGATGTTGAACTGAACTTCTCCCACTAGTGAAATACATTTTCACTTTTGCAAGGCTTGCAGTAAGAGTTCTAAGAACTTCGTGCTGAAGTCAATAAAAACGCATCCCTCCCACAAGTCCCACAGACTTTAAAAGGGACTTAGCAAACCTTAAGTCTAAAATACTGCAGAGAATCCCAGCTCCACATGTTGTGTCAGCGCACCAAGAAAACCCAACAGAGCTTTCTAAACTGCTTCGAAGTTTCCACAACAAAATTAGCCAGCCTGGTAAAGACAGACAGGATTCTCAAGTTTTCTTGAGAACCGCTGATTTAAATGTTTTTATATGAAGGAGAAGCCAATGATGATGATGTAAATACAGATTGAAGGCAACAGGTATTGCTACCACTTTAGTACCCTCAGTGTTGTGCCTGGACAAAAAAATATTTGGTCTTACAAATCAAGCTGGTGAACTGAAAGTATAGAAAGACATCTATTGCATAAATACAGTTAACCCTTCTCTACTTGATCCAGGGGTGGCCACAGTCTTTCTGTTCCACAAACCATTTAATAAAATCTCCTTGTGGCAAAGAGCCATAAGATTTAAGCAGCTAAAAAGACAGGTAGCTTTGTTCTCAGGCAGGCAGGGACAGCAGCTATTCTGTCCCACTCAGCATCTCACTTGGGAGATGCGGAACAAGGCTGGGAAGGAGACTGGCAGTATCAACTTCAGCAGTTCATGCTGGCGCCTTCCTCTCATGGCCACCACCCCAGCTTCTCATATTCCTGATGCCAGTAATGTGGCACAATCCCTGGCCAGAAGGATGTGCTCGAGCTGCTCCAGGGTTACATCTTGGCCACATCTGCACTGGAATCACATGGGCATTGAACACACACTGAAATCTTGGCTGTATTGCACCTCATGGCAAAATTCCCACTGATCAAAGCAGAGCCAGAATATCACATATAATACTTGGTCAGAATACCTCTTCTTCCTCCTGAGGCTTGTAAGAGCCATAAATAAAGTTAAAGCAATATAGTATTCACCAGTTTTAATAGAAGGCCTCCTCTGTTAAACGACCACCAAAAACAGTTGCTCAAGATGGGTTATACTGATTCATAAATGAGAGAAGGCTGCTTAGGATATTTTTTTTTTAAACCATCACTACTTTTATTGGTTGTCAATGTTTTCCTGTTAGTTAATAAATGCATTTGATATAGGTGAGTTTCCAAACTAAGCATGATGGGAGGGCTAGTTTAACATTCAAACTAATTTAAAAAGAAGTTACCTCAAGTTTCCCTTTGGGACATATACAAAATATGCAGTTAATTTGTTGCACCTAATTTGTGTGTATGCACTGGGAGGTAATTAGTGTAGAAATTCAACCAATTTTACAATCTTTCTGTTCAACTCAACAAATTACAGTTTTCAACACCTGTTTCTGGCAATGACAATAAGTTTAGTACTTGCTTAATTTCCACAGACCAGAAATATACCCCAAGCAAAAGATACATTTACATGCACATGCAGTATAGCATTGCTAGCATGAATACCACCACCATTATAAGTATCCAGTCACACAATATTCCCCTGCAGAATTAGGAAATGTGTATTCTAATATAAATTGTATGACTGGCTTCAGGTACTGGACATCATTAAAAGTTTCAAGGCACTTTTCATAATAAGACCTAGTTAAAAAGTTGTTTCTAACTTTGCCAAACTAACTGCTTGTTCTAAAACTTTACATGCTGGCTGTCTGCCCTCAAGCTGGGGGTTTGCGTTTTTGTTGTTGTTTTGTTTTTAGTTTCAGCCAAAATCCTCCTCCAAGAAGGAGACCACAAAACATTCTGTTGGTTTGCCAAAATAGCATTCTGGCAGCCCTTCCTCCAACTTGAGCACCCTATGCTTTGGAATAGGAATTGAAAATTTGATCAGAGGTTGTGGGGGAAGAGAAATGAATCCCAGGCAGCCCAAGCTACGAGCCTTTGTGAGAAACGTAAAAGTAACAATGAAGTTTCCACATTTGTAACAGAGACTTTATGATTTCAGAAGCTAAAAGCTTCTAGAGACTTCAGAAAGTCTCACTGAGCGTATTTCTTCCCTCATAGATCCCAACATTTATGTGTGCATATAATGCATAAAGAAAACAAATGATTATGGTTCCTGGAAGCCCAGGGTTACTGGTAATCCTAGTGCTACCAGCAAACACATTCACAGCAAACACTGCTACAGGCTGGGGTAAAGGAAGCATCCCTCAGCAGTCCTGATGATGCCAGCCAGATCCCCAAGTCAAATACAGAAGAGCCAAACTTAACCAGGATTCTCCTACAATTCCTTACCTCATACATTATTACAAGACTTGCAAAAGAACAAGGATCCTACTGGCAAAAACATCTTTTACTACCCAACCCCAAATTCATCCATCCTTTGTATTATGTGAGGCAGGAGTCAGTAGTTTTATCAAAAGAGAGACAAACAATTTGTAAAAGTAAGATTGCTCACAGTAGTCCTACACTCATATATAACATTCATGAGCCCCACATCCCTGAATAACCTAGAATATCAAACAGTTTTCAAAGAAAACTAAAAGGAGAACAGATCGACCAGTACTGTTTAATGACTTCTGTATAATGATACTAAGGTGTTAAAATATAATGTCAAAATTTTCAGAAGATTATTCGCAGACTTGAGCTAATTCGAGCACACAACTGTTACCCAAATGTGCATATATGAAAGGATTCGTCATACAACCAAAACAGGAATGTAAATGCATAACTGACCATTAAGCCTAGAGTCTGCAAGTAAGTTTGAATGTAAATAGTCCTAGTGAAATCAACGTAAGTATTGCTATTCATAAAGCCAAGCGTGTACCTGTACAGTTGCCAGACCAAAGGGATGCTGAATGGTTAAGGTAACACATATGCAAATATATTACCATCTGCATTTCACAGCAAGAGCTCTTGAAAAGCTTGATTTTGCAAGATAATCTGTAGAAAACCAAGCATTAAAAATTGAGGTAACTTAGTACAAGGTTTTGGTTAACTGTGGGAGTACAGGAGCGCACCAAAACAAAAAGCAAATAATCATATAGCAACCACTTACCAGTATAGATTTTTATTTTTTTTTCAAAATAATGGGATTTGTTTAGATTTAAAATACTCCAATAATTACCTAAAACAAAAGTACACTTTGTTAGAACTTCTGGTAAGTGCTGTTCTAGAGTTCTGAAAATGTGTGACAGAAAACAAGAAAATATAAAATCGGGTTAGCAAAATACAGTAACAGAGCTTTACACGAGGGACACATATTCTATTTTATTTTAACTATGTCTGACAGGTAAACATGCTGTAACAGCTCTCCACTTAGAAACGTGTGCCTATAAACTTAATCTGCAACCTGAATCCCAGGAAATATTCACTACTGATCAATTCAAGGCTTAGTAGGTGCAAGGGAAAAAAAACCCGATAAACCATCTTGAGCTGTGTTTCTTCATTAAACAAATATTCCCTTTTTCCATAAAGTATTAATTTTTAATTTTAATACATCACTATATGTCATAAAATTATTATACAACATTATTTTACTATTCAAGATTCACCTAAGCTTGTAGCCATAATGTAAGTTATTTTTTATGCAAATATTTAAGTGTTTAATAAAAAAAGTATGTATTTATTGCATCTAGTGAAAAAAAAAGAACCCAACTTTGATGCTTCTTACAAAACAAAAAGAAAAAAAGAAATCACTGCCTGGCTAGCTGCCAAACATTCCTGTCCTCTGGCTTGCTTTTTCAAGAATCATGAAAAAACCCTGGAGTTCGTTGTGATCTAGACAACCAAAGATGATTAGTCTGTATAGGATCAGGATGCACAGTATCTTATTAAACCCACATACTTCTCAAATGAGCCATAAGGATAAAAAAAATGTGGTTTGTTATCACGTCCATTTCCAAAGGGCAGCTCACAAGGTTTCCTCTTCACGTAAAAACTGGAACACAGCTGAGAAGTCTTTCAGGGCATAGCCTTTTGCACACATCATCCTGTAGATCTGATGTGCCTGGGATCCCAAAGGAACTGGTGTCATTGTGTTGGTGGCAGAAATCTGGGCCAAGCCAAGATCCTGTGGGAAGGGAGTAGAGTGAGGAAGACAGCAGACAGAAAGAATAGAGGGAAAGAAAAAAAGTCAGGAGAGACAAGGATGTAAATAGCCAGTACGTATTATAGGTTATTTGGTTTCTATTGTGAAGAAAGCTCTACTGACAACAAAGGCAACACTCCAGCCTTAAAATTTCAGTCCTGGAAGAAGGGAGTTTTGTTTAGTTTTTAATTTTTAAAACAGCAACTAAATGTTACTCAACAGAAAAAAAACAAACTTTGCAAGGCAGGTGATCTCCTTCAGGACAGGAGGGATTTTATGGGTCTAGATCACTACATAGCCTGGTAGCAAGACTTAGACTTATTTTCCCCACTTCGTTATGTCATCTCCAAAAACTAAGTTTCCCTGGGTATTCACTTAAGCATTTCACATAGATTCTAATGTCATAATTTTCTTGTCCGGGCAAGAGAACATCTTCCTTTCTAAAAAAAGATTAATAATCAAGCTGGAGGGATTTAAATAACAACAAACTTGAAGCCACTTAGCATACATACATTTACTGTAATGTGATTAGTTAATACCAAATGAGATGCATAGGCCACTTTGTGAATATGAATGGTTTGCAGCCTAACTGGAAGGATGTATTAAAGAATTCCTTAGGGGACTGTCCTGGGTCTGCTACAACATTAAGATTTCTTTAATTACTGAAGATAAAGGGATATAGAGAATAATTCTACTGCATTTTTAAATGCTAAATTTGGGGCAAAAGAAGAAGGGGAGTTTGCAAAGAGGATGAATTTTAAACCTTTCCTCCAGAAGTCCTTCATCAACTACATCTATAATCTGAAATAAATAGGATAGAACTCAAAGGTGAGTAGCAGGAACTATGACAAACCATAGTTAGCTAGAAACAGTCAGCTTCACGCATGCTGTACAGAAATGACAAGCTGGGCTGGAGGATGTCTTGAAGTCTAACCTGAATCAGACATGAAAGCAACCAAAGAAGGAAAAGCTAATAAGGGCTTAGATATATAAACAGATCTCCTGTCTAAGTATGAAAGAAATGCCTGCACACAGTGTCTTGCTAACAAAATCAGTTTGTGGCCCACATTTTAAGAAAGCTGCTAAAGAACCTCTCAAGCGTTACTAGGAAATGCCTGGATTTTCTGTCCATCCAGTACTATGGTGGTTTATAAAATTTGATGTGTTTTAACTTTTTTTTTTTTTAATAACAAATCTTTGATACAGAAGAACTGAGTGACTGTAGTACTGCTGAATGCACCTTTGGCTTCTCAGAGATGACTTACAAGACAGGTCTTTACTTTCTGTGTGTCTGGATTTGAATTAGCACAAGGAAATTCAAGATCTTACTCTACTCTCTAAATGTCACTTTGATCTGTAAATCGGCTCTATAAAGGTCATTCTGATACAAATCAGAATTATAGTTACTCTTCCTATTACCCTCGAATGACTTCAAGATCTAGGAAAATGGGAAAAACATACGTATCAGATGTCACAGGGACCAAAATATTCTTCATCTGCATCAGGGCAGATCATTCCTCCTTGTCTAGCAATTCTGTTGAAAGACTGATGACCTGACAAATCCAGGAACAGTTACTTTAACATCACTTACAGTAAGATATTCCATGACATATTCCTAGCCTCTTCTAAGCCCTTTATGTGAAACCTATTACCATATTATCCATTTATTCAGAAAAGCTTAAATCATGTAATGGAACAGTAGAATGGCAAAATAGCTAACTTCAAACTAGTGAAGGTGCTTGTTTTTGGTAGGGATGATTGTGATATGTTTCTTCCTTAAGGGACATTCACAGAAGCAATCCCTGAAAATTCTGAATAAATAGACTGCTAGCACAAGTATAAATTTATAGATCAGGTCTGTTCACTTTGATAATGAAACTCTGTCTCCAAGATGGTTGAAACATCAGCTAAGGTATCAATAATGAAATTGACAAGTACTCCTAATGCCAAGGTGCAGGAAGGTTGGTTTTTTTTTAATTCCATTCTACAAATTAGATCTTTGAAGGAAAAAAAAACCAACCAAACAAAATGTAAGTAAAGCTTATGTTTAGTTTTCAGGCTGTGAAGTGTTTTGCACCTTTTGTCTTGAGTTTGGAAGTTCTTTGAGTGAAATAGTACAAAACAGCTCTGAAATAAATTTGCCTTTTGCTGACCTTTATGGAAAAGTAAAAATCAGATAATTGTTTATGGCTCCTGTCATACTCACTGGAACTGACATCTTCCAGATGTCTCACTGTACCAACTATTCTAATCACTTTTTCTCAGCTTGGAATAGGGAACCAAATTCTCTTTCAGAATCTGCTTCCAATGCTTACTTTGGAAAATACCTGGTTCCTTACCTTTACTGACATAAATGAAACTGCCATTGGGAATACAGCTGAAAGGCTGTCCTGACATGACTCAAGAATAGTATGACATAAATCTACCTCTTTTCAGGATTCAAAGATGACATTTAATTAGCAACTGTGCTGTGAATGGATGATGGAACTTCTGGCCTTCAATGCCTTGGACACAAAGATGGAGAGGCGAAGCAAACTAGATTTTTTAAATGCAAAATCTTTGGAACAGGTTTCATACGAAGGTGACCAAATTCTATGTTTCAGGATGAGATTTCAAGACTGAAGAGCTTTTCTGAGGCGTCTGACAAATGTTTCTGTCCCAAACACTTAAAATAAGGATCCTCTGGCTTCGCTTGACACATCCATTCCTGACACATCCATTCCCGACAAAATATTTTTAAGAAAACCTTTGACTTCTATGTATTTGATACGTGAGCAGTAACTTGAAATCTAGTAACTGTGTTTATTGACTGTTACTGAGTCACTCGTACATTTTCATTGTGAAGTATTTTCTTCTCAACCTCAGGGTTGTGCCTACCTCTTTCTCGTTTGAATATAGCTTTTTTCTTAAGTGGCAAAAGCATGCTCCGTATTTCCCAGAAAAAAATTCTCCAACTCAATTCACAATCTACGTGATGTGTCACATACCAGGATGAAATGGACATAGCAGAAGTCTTTCCACAAATTAAGGAGCAGTGTCATAGAAGAGGTCACCCTTGCATCAAATAATATCCTGAACATGATCAGCTGTCTCATTCAAGTGGTCTTACATCCATATAGTGTAACATAGCACTGTTCAAGAGCATGTAGTGACAGGACAAGTGGGAATGCCTTTAAGCTGATGGAGGGTAGATTTACATTAGGTATTACGAAGAAATTCTTCACTATGAAGGTGGTGAGCCACTGGCACAGGTTGCCCAGAGAAGCTGTAGCTGCCCCATCTGTTCAAGGACCAGGTTGCATGGAGCTTCGAGCAACCTGTTCCAGTGGAAGATGTCCCTGCCCATGGCAGAGGGCTTGGAACTGGATGATCTTTAAGGTCACTTCCAATCCAAATCATCCTATGATTCCATGTATGAACACAAATGCTTCCCTCAGCACAGTATCCCCATGATACTAATATTCAGTGTGAAAAGACTTATTGCACTTGCATGCTTAGATGAGAGCTCTCTTCCAGGGTTGATTTCATAATTTGCCTTAGGCGACCACTGCACTGAACACAAAGTAGTTCAACAGTCAAGAGTTCTATAGCTCCCTCCTCCAGCTGTGTGTCCTCATCAGTGGGATGTAGGCCCTGACCTCCTTGCCTACTTTCCTTTGGCCTATAAGAGCTTTGCTTTCCTGACCACAGAGCGGCTCAGAAGAGAGATTTTCCTAGAACAGCCAAGAGCATGGCAGTAAGTGCATTCTCCTGGGGTAGGATAACTGTAGGTTACAACTTCCTCATACTGAGAAGGACTTACTTCCCACTTACTCCCTCATACTGAGAAGGACCAGATTTCTCACTTTGTGGACAAGTAATTTAGAATACGAGGTTATTATTCATAAGAAGAAGCACTACGTCTGCCACCAACAAAGACAATTCAGTAGAGCTCACAGCATGGTGATACCTGCAGAAAAATCAGTCTGCAGGGTGTGTGTTGAAATCTGGCTTTTTTCTGCATTACAAATGGCCTTAGGCAGAAGACAAGCACATAGGCAGTTGCCTTAGCAAGGAAAAGGGATGCTAGTCCAGTAGCACAGTTTAAGGTATATAGAAGAGATTAAGCCCAAAATCTTAGTGTTTATGCCACTATTCACACCTACTTAGGTCACCTGGATTTCCCTGGACTGTTCTCTTGAGCTCAAGGTTCCTGAATTGTAGTGCAGTCATGGAAAAGGTACCTAAATGGCTTGCTGAATGCTTGCCACACACACGTGTCCATCAGGACTCCTGGATTAAGGCAGAACTCAAAAAGACAGTGCATATAATCTCACTGAGTGTCTCAGCAGTAATTGTGGACAGAAAGGGTCTAGAGGGTAAGGAAAAGCCCCCTACATTAATTCAGAGCCACCGTAAGATGTTGTCTTCCCCTATGTTCATGCACACATATTTCCCTGTAATCATAAATTTTCAGTGAGAAGAACATTTGCTAGAAGCCCAGAGAGAAGCAAGTGTACATACTTTAAATGCAACTGTTACATACCTTAGCCATGAGTGTTGTTCCAAAGCCACCTTGATAATTATTAGCAGATGGCACTCCTTCCATCACTCCAGGAACAGGGTTGTATGTGTCGCTTGACCAGCAACGACCTGAGCTCATATTTAGGATTTTGGCCAGTAGCTTTGGGTCAAGGCCTAATCTGTCAAAGGTCAAGGGAAAAAAGTGTTAATGCCAAAATGCACAAGACATGGGTGACTTGTTTTATATCTTAGGACCCTACAATCATTTCTCTCCCTTTATTATAAGTCATGAAAAATGACAGAGTATTGATATTGGGGGTAGGGATGCTGCATCTTAAATTAAAGAACATCAATTCACCATTTAAGCAGTAGGTTTTCAGACCTTTTTTCCTTTTGTACTAAGCACATCCCCTTCACCTAGCAATTCTGAAAGTGCAAACAAAATAAAGGTCCTCAGTGAACATTAGTTCCCTTGTATTTCAATTACTGAAAGGCATTTTCTGTTCTGCTACTTATTAGGTCACCTACTTGTTCCTCCTATCAAAATTATATTCTCTAAAGCTGAACAAAGGAAAAAAAGCACAAGCAAATGTGGCACCGTGAAAGTACCTGTGTGATGTGTTTATAAGTGAACACTAGCGTGTTTTTGATTTAAGATAATGCAAATGATCCTGCTTTAATGTGAACAGAAATGCTACACTTCTTAAAAAATACTACTGCTGTATACATCTGTACATTCTTTGATTTGTTATTATTAAATCATTATATACTTATGCAAATCTGGCTCTGTGACATATGTTATCTATTCGCAAACATGCATTATAGTTCTGGGTCAACTGTTGATAAGGTTACTGATCCCAATAAAACAAAGCTTGTCAGTAGAAACATCATTTGTTCTATCATGGAGCTGATGGCATAAGCTGCTGCTCAGTGTAGACCCTGAAAGTTCTTCAGTATTATAGGAAATTAAGTCTCTTATGAATTCATATTTATGCTAATATGAAGTTGCAAGTGTAGTTTTACACCAACTACATTTATACCAATGACAAGCAGCAGTAGTTTACCTGGCCCTGTACAAACATTCAGTTACACTCCTGACAAAAAAAGAAAGCAAGGGAATTATCTCCAGTAACACTCCAAGATGAGAACAGGACATTTTAAAAAGGATCTAGCACAACCTTCTATAAAGTTTTTTTATAGAAGTCAACACTTTTTACATTAGCTCTAAAACCACAGACTTTTTGCAGATCTCCTTAGCCATGGCAATCCTAGCACCATTTCCAGGTGCTGTAGCACCTAAGGCTTTAATTTGTAGATGAGAAAAGCTCATTATCAATGAAACAGTTGCTAAAATTGATGTCTATTTATTCTAGTAGATATTTCAGATTTGAAAAATACACTTACGACAGTGGGCCCTGCAGCATGGCTACTGTTCCTGTGACGGCACGTGTCTCCTACAATTTTGCCCTTCTAATACAAAGCATTAGGATCACTTTCTGTACCGCAAAGGTAGCTTTTTAGCATTACTGCTGTGCACTTTTATTTATGAGTTGCTGCAGCAGTCCCTGGTATTCAATGGGAAGTCCCCTGCTGGCCTGAATGGGATCAAGCTTTATTCTCCTCCCCACTTTTTTCCAACCATCTGACTCAACTGAATGCTTTCAATGGCCATTTACTTACCATTAAAAAATCCCCAAACCCCAAATATTCCAGCACCAATATATTTTCACAGTATTTGAATTGTACTTTCATCTTACACAGTGCATCAAAATCTTCATCAAGAGCCAGTCTGAATAACAGCTTTAACTGTAATTCAAAAAACCCACCCCGGGAGCAGGAAATACCTGAGCTTTCAAATACACAGAGGTTGTTTTTTTTTTTTTTGGCCAAAACGAATCTCTTGGCTTGTTTGTTTCCTTATCATTGTTACACCCAGGTCAGTGTTTTTAACAATGTAATGCCTGCCTGTGCCTTATCTAGCTGCATGCAGAGGCCCATAATTACAGCTGAGAGTACGCTGCAAGACAGAGCGCTTATTATTTCAAAATGCATATAACCTTCCCAAAGAATGCTCTTCTCACAGTGTGAAAGTATACTTTAAAAGATATGTGTGTATTATACAGATATGTGAAATACTGTCTGCACTACAGCTGGCACATTTTTGCTCTTGAAAAAGAAAAAGGAATATGGTGTCAGTTTAAAATCCCTGCCTCTTCAAAATTCATTGCTCTTAAACACCACACAGATTCTCTTCAGGAGACCTGAACATATTTTTTTTTCCTCCTTTGCAGCAAGTGTATCATTAATAACAGCAAGTTAGAAGTGCTTTGCATTTCATCTTTCTGAGGATTCATCCACTGGTGCATATATAACTGACTGTTAAAATTAGACATATATTAAAATCAGTTACTGAAGAAGTCCTCTGTCTTCCACTGTGCCCAAAGCTTGTAATGGTCTGAAACCAGCTAGAATATACAGTAATTGTCATTCAGGGAGAGTCTATCCTAGAAAGACATGCTTCAGTGGAGAAGACTGAGTTTCCATTTGAAATCAACAAATTAATCCAAGACAGGTATCTGAAAGGGCAAGTTTAATAGGAAGCAGCTACTGGGCTCTCAACCATGATAAAATGTTATTGCTGTTTCCCTGTAAATTGGCTGGGAACATACGATACTCTCTGCATAAGAGCTCCATTTCTGTTCAAGAGATATACTGCTCAAGCTATCAAAATGATGACAGTCTGCCAGTCCCCATAACAACTTGCCATTGGACGTGGCAAGAGCTTGTGCATGCGCGTGTGAATTTACAATTACCAAAATATTCTTCTCCCTTATAAGCAGAAAAGAAACCCATGTATAATTGTACTTATAATAGAGCAAAAACAATTGCTTCCTTCAAATCAACGCTTCTTCAATAACACTCCTAATGAACTGAACGGCAGAAACTCAGCAACAAATACACGCACACCCCCCAAAAAGGTTAAAATAGGATCCCTCTGAGCCACTTCTCAAAACTCAAGTTTTCCTAGCTTTGATAAAACCATGTACTGTAATTTTCATACACTCCTCCAATATTTCAGTCTGGAACAGACAGAAAAATTAAATGGCATCTCACAAAAAAGATACATCCTTGTCTCATTTTAAGGTGTAACAACTGAAGTAGCTGAACTATTGAGAGTTTCCTGTCTCAAGGTGCTTTGGACAAATACCATATGAAATTGCAAATACTCAAGCAGACCCTTAGGACCATCCTACCACAGCTAAAAATGACTTTGCCATTGGCAATTTAAACAAGGTAAGTGCTTTCAAGTGTCATTACTAACTTTCACAAAACTTAGCTATAGCTCCATGCCGAAGACATCAGAGCTTCAGTGCTCTCTTTTTTCAAGGCACTCTTTCTAGGGGATGTGCCCAGGGCTAATCATCCCTCAGCCTGCAGCATATGCTCCTCTCTGTGCTGTTGACTCCCATTTTCTGCTCATGTCTTCCACTACAATCCATGGGTGCTCACAGAAACCAGATCTAGAGACTGAACCACATTTAGACTTAGCAGCAGAGGACAAAGTTCTTTTACCATTGTTTCACTTTATATATCTTAAAAAGGAAGCAGGCACAAATCCATACACAGTAAAATTGCTTAGGAAAGAGCTGTATTTGCAGCTTTTAGCATAAATCTGGGTGCGTCTGCAGGCCCCCCTCACAGAGAACCCTCACTGTGGGAAGCCCAAAAGTGATTTTGCAGTGAGGTTATTTACCATAGAGCCCTTATTCCTCTCCTGGTCCCTTATATCCCAATCGTATTAAACAATCTTGCCCTGCCTTGTGTTGCCATATAAGCCCTTCCCTGTGCCTGTGCAGGCAGTTTCTGAAGGGATGGCAAACTGCTTGGGAGGCAGCAACTTCCACCTGACATGAACACAAACCAGGTATTAAGAGTACTTAATTTCTGATCTTTATTTTGCTAGTATTTCACATTACACCACTGGAACTCAGGGCTCACTAAAAGAAAGTTACTGACACCGAGATGACCAGCAAAAAGAAAAATAGTCTCTGGCTGTGGACAGTATCACCTAATATTTTTATTTCTTATTTATGAAGTTTATATGTACTCTGTGTGTTGGTTTGACATGGTCAGTAAGGCATTTTGCAATATCCACACTATCTGTAAAACTGTATAGCAAAATCTACTCAAGATTCTTCTACAGACAAGTTGCTCTTTCATGCTAGAACAAAAAGAAAATACAAATGACAATGTGAATTCATTTCCAGAATGCCTGCCACACGTTCTAACTTTCAGTGGCACCATTTGTAAAGCATCAAGAAATTAATGGAAAAAATCCAAACTACAACAAAAGCAGAATTTCAATGGTCAGAACTCATGATAGATTTTTTTTTAATGTTAGTTTGAAATTTAAACAAAATCACTTCCAATGAAACCACACATCTTCATTTGTTAATGAAGATGATTTGTACATAAAGGTGATGTTAAAGCAGAAAAATGAGTGAAATATAAATTCAGAAGCTACACAGCAGTATTGCCTATTTTGCTGGGAGTTCACTGTGGAATTTTTGCTCATTAATGTCTGTTTTCCTTCCTCCCCACCACATTCTATTTACTACTTACGTTGAAGCTTGGAAAAATCCTGTAACTTCAAATATGAAATAAATAAACCAATAGCAGATGTAACTTAAAAATCTGAAATGAATAAACCAGTAACTCTCTGCTTCAGAACATGAAAATTTAGACTACGTGGTTTATGAAAACGTTAGAGAAAAGGTGGCTTATTAATAGAATTAATACCACCCTGTTTTGAGGACATTGTGACAGTATTAGCTCAGAGTAGATATTGGTTTCTGGAAGCTGCTGTAATATGACTTTCTAGCTACATCTAGTTCAGTCAGCAATTTTTTGAATAATTAATTATCCAAAGTGCCTAAACCTCAAGATTTAAATGATGCTGCAGATATACACAGTGCATGGCATGACAATATTTTATACTCTATCTAAAGTTGAGAACATGTCTAAGCTCCCTAATTCCTATTATGAATTTTTTAGAATTCCAGTGTCCTTTATTAGGTCAAAGTCAGAGTTTCTTCACCAGATATGCATCAATCTAATAAATCAGGTTCAGCTTCTACTCTCTCCAGATGAGGCAGCCACACTATCCTTCTAGTTTTAGACTTAAAAAATAAATAAATAAAAATGTATTAATACAGCAAAACTTAGAATTACAACTTCAACTGTGAACTTGTACGTAAGAAATCTGTACGCACCAGAAGCGGAAAGCTCTTATTTTAGTTACAAGCAGAAGCCATCTTCTCCCGGATTTAAATCACAGCACATTAAGATCAATGCAAGGGCTCTAAATTACTTCATAAGACTTTAAATTACTGCCTCTGTTGTAAACCTCATGCAGCTTTTTCAGACTAAACAAGACTCTGCTCTTTGTATAATTTGGGTTTCTTCTACAATAAGTACAGTTCTTCCTTGATTACCATGATTATAGGGTAGGAAAGCTTGCATATTGTCACCTTCACACTGGGTTTCTGTTTAGAAATGCTAACTATAAATTCAGTCAAAATTTAAACTGCAAAAGGACAAAATTTAAAATGAAAATTCTGAACTCTTCAAGCTACAGTGCCGGCAGACACCAACTCATTCTGCACAGGGCTTACATGCCCAGAATATGTGCCTTCCAAATCTCTTGATTTTATCTCAAATTGTAACTCTAGTAATTCCTACAAATGTAGATAAAAATATAATGAAAAATCAGTTGCATATGCTGTATTAAGTGAACAATGACTTAAACCAGAACCTGATGAAAGCTTTACACTACATTGGACTACAACAGTTGTAAACAATGCTACTGTTTTTATTATAGCTTGATGCAGACATGCTTCAGTATCTTACAGACTCTCAATTTTAAAATGTAAATGGTACAGGATATTGATAAACCAATTAGCACTGATGCAAAGCAAATTCCTCTTTTATCTCAATTACAACATGACAACTTAATAGGTCAAGATAGTCTAACATCTGAGACAAGGGCAATTCAATAAAACAACTGCATCTTGATATGGTAATTAAGAGGAAATGTGAATCCATTACATTGCCTTGTGTATGTGTGCATATGTAGGCCTTCTTTTTTTATTTATTTAAGCACTTGATGCCCTCTTGCTGGCTTTTATAGTGTATCATATCCACACAAACACATAGTCTAAAGCCCAGTTGGTAAGTATCTATGGTATTTGTAGTTTTAGCAGGCCAACTTTCAGGATGCAACTGTGCAAATAAATAATTCATGAAGAGACCTTAAAATATACACAATTGCAGCATAATCTTTTTAAACATAAAACTTGCCTGTTTATAAATTTGCGAATTATTTAGATCTGGCTAAGAAAACTTATGAAAAGTTCAAATTTTGTGATACTGAACTGGTACTTGCATGCACTCTATTGGAAAACAAAACAAAATCCCAAAGACCACAGCAAAATAAATAGCTTACAATTGGAAAGGAAAAATAATTTTGCTTCAATATGCTGCCACTTAAAGTCAAATGTATTACCTCCTAGAAAAGAAATGGTACTTTTAGCATTGACAAGAATGCAGTGGAGCATGCTCCATCCGTTTGACAAAGTAGCAGTTTTGGCAATTAGGACAAACTGCAGAGATAAAGTAAAACAGAAAGGTAGATATTCTTTTTTATGCTTTGAAACTTAATACACACACTGTACTAGAAATTTTACTTTACAACATATTTTGGAACAATTTAGCAAAGTAAATAAGCCATATGGGAGTGTAATACTCTGAATACACTGTACATTAGCTTAGAATACAGTCACCTTTATATTACCTCTACATGTTTATAATGCAAGATAAACATTATTGTACATTGCACTACAGCAGAACAAATGAACTCGTAACTTCAGATGCAGAATGTAACAACCTATACAGCCAATAAAAGAGAATATTCATGTTGTGCAGAGCCATACTTCCTGTAAAATAATCCATTTAGCATGTTTTATAAGAGAACTTTCGGCAAAAGTTTATCTATGCCATCTAACCATCATTCTCTCAGCAAAAGTCAACCGTAAACCACAAAAACTGTTAACACAGTGAAAATGTTTCAATCCAATAGCATAAATCAAACAAACCTGATTCCAAGATTCATTGCTTCAGCAGTTCCAATCATACTGATGGCCAAAAGCATGTTGTTGCAGATCTTTGCAGCCTGAAAATAAGTTAAACCATCAATTAGTTTCTGCATTTTCATAGACCTAACATGTAAGAATCTTCTTTAACTAGGTCTGGGACAGTATGATCAAATCTGTTTTGACAGCTCTCTTCTAAAAGCAGCAGCAGTAAGCACAGATCTACGACAGCATAAAGTCAATGAAAGCTGCCCTACGGTTCCTTTTTTTCTTAGTACAATAGATCAATTAGTATACATGGCATGTAAGGGGCTCTCTGTCCTTCAGAACATCCAGTAAACTTAAATTCAGAAGAAACAAAATTAAACCTGTGTTCTCTAAGAAGTATAGTATCAAGCCAATGTGGAGAAGTACCACATCAGATGTTTTGATGCTAAACTATACAACATGGTGGAGAAGAGTGCCATGAGGTTATTTCATAAACACATGGTTGAAGACAAGGAAACAATCAAACAAGTATAAAGATATATTAACATGCTTTTAGTTCTGGAATAAAAGAGTAGGCATCAGTAAAGAAAAACAAAGTGATAAAAATAAAAGATCGAGGTAGCTAGCAATGCCTCAGGAAGCATTACCTGTCCGGTTCCAACCGCTCCACAGTAGACCACGTTAGAACCCATGCATGTCAGCAACTCTTTGGCAGCATCAAACTCTTGTTCCACTCCACCAACCATGAAAGTAAGGTTTCCAGCCCGAGCAGCTCCAACACCTGAATCAAGGCAACACTGGATTTAACATCACTGTTTGGAAAAAAACCCCAACTTGTGTAGTTTATCTTACCAGTAAAGGTGTGATGATGTAAAAGTTACGTGCTTAATGAACTTCTCAAAGTCTATGTAAAAGTAAGCCTATAGTCCCAGTACTTACAGGATCAGAGATCTTAATTCTCAAACATTTGGTCACCTTATCTTTCAGGCATACTGGCAGATAAACAATTCACAAGACATGCAGAAAACTGACAACGCTGCTCTTTGTAGCTCCATATGCAGAAACAATGAATCCTTCCTGCACCTTCGTACCCCACAAAATTCACTGTGTCTGAACTACTGAATAAAAATTTTGTCACACTACTCTCCCCACACGACTATTGACAAAGTTAACTCTTATCAGCTTTTCCAAACCTAGGCTAATTTTCATTATGCTTCCTGATTTTCACATAATTGAACATCTAAAAGACACAGGCATATAAAACCAAGCCTTCTGAACCTCTGCAGTCTGCTATGTTTCTAATCTGAAGCGAAATTCTACCTAATTTCAGAAACTTTGTGTTACGTTTCCTAAACTTAACACATACAGAAAGACAGAAAGAACTCTGTAAAAAACAATGTAAACATGATTCTCACACACACACACACAAACACACTATTCCCAGTTTTGTTCCTATATAGCTCCTGTAAGTCTGCCCTATCTTTACCACATGTCAGTAAGCGCACACCACAGCTCTTTGATTACAGAATCATAGAATGATTTGGGTTGGAAAGCATCCGTTTTAGGGGGCTGGAACTAGATGACCTCCCACTAGACCAGGCTGCTTACGGCCCTGCTCAGCCTGGCCTTGAACACTGCCAGGGAGCATTTACAACTTGGGCAACCTGTTTCAGTGCCTCACCACACTCATAGTAAAGAATTTCTTCCTTATATCCAACCTAAATATCCTGTTTAAGATTGAACCCTTGTCCTGTCATTACAGCCCCTAACAGATAGTCCCTCCCCAGCAACCATGTAGGCCCCCTTCAGATACTGGAAGGCTGCTATGAGGTCTCCACGCAGCCTTCTCTTCTCCAGGCTGAACAGCCCCAACTTTCTCAGCCTATCTTCATATGGGAGGTGCTCCAGTCCCCATGATCATCCTCGTGGCCTCCTCTGGACTTGTTCCAACAGTTCCATGTCCTTTTTATGTTGAGGACACCAGAACTGCACACAATACTCCAAGTGAGGTCTCACAAGAGCAGAGTAGAGGGGCAGGATCACCTCCTTCGACCCGCTGGTCATGCTCCTTTTGATGCAGCCCAGGATGCAGTTGGCTTTCTGGGCTGCAAGCACACACTGCCAGCTCATGTTTAGTTTCTCATCAACCAACACCCCCCCCAAGTCCTTCTCCACAGGGCTGCTCTCAATTCCTTCACTGCCCAACCTGTGCCTGGGATTACCCCCAACACAGATGTAGGACCTTGAACTTATTATACAGCTCCTAAGGACAAAACCAGCATTTTTTTTTCATGTGATACTTATAATCTCCATGAAATATACTATTTCTTAAAAGAGGCCTAATTCTGAATTACTGATACAACCGTAATCTTATCCACAACATTTAACGGATAGAACTGCTAGCTGCTAGGAAAATTTGGCCCAAACTGATGAACACATCAGCTTCCTCATTATTTTTCACTTTGTCAAGAAGCACAGCTACAATACATTTTCTGTGCTATACATCAGACTTTGGCCTGTTAGGATATACAGCTGCAGATGATGACCTGCTTTCAAATTAAATGTGCTCAACTAGGTACGGTGTTCTTACAAACAGAATGCCCAAGTGAAAACTTGTTCTTACTCCACGTGGTGGACCATTTTGTTTCTACAGTAAGCCAGGCTGCTCTCCAGCTGTGGTTCATAATTCTTTGTCATGAACTAGCTACCATAATAAACATTAAGAAATGTTTCAACTGAAATAGTTTCCAAAGTGTAACTGGAACTGCCTGCGCTGAGCTAGATGTTGTGTAGGAACAAATGAAAATGCACTCTTAAAAAGTTTATTAGTTGAAGAGATTTGTAAAACAAACGAACAAAAAATACAGTTGAACCTCAAACAACAGAAAGTTATTCTGTTAAAGTAACTTACACAGGGCATTTCTGTTTTCCTTGTTTCTCATTAATAAATGAAATTATGCAGGATAAAACATCAGAAAGATAAAATAATAAATCTACAACTAAGCCACCATGGCATCCAAGTTAGTGCACAAAAGATTCTGATAAAGTGTGCAATCATAGCACACTAATCAAAGCTTATCTCAACTTTAAGCCTTAGGTAAGCACTATACCACAGCAAAAGAATGAAGTGGTTGGCATTGGCCTTCCTTTCTGACATTGAGGACAGTTACACTGCAGCTCCTCACAGTGAAGAATTTTAAGAATGTTTGTTTGCTTTCCCATAAAAATTTCACTTGATGCATTGTCTTTGTGCAACTGCTCTGTGTCTACAAATGCCCCTTTCTGTATCTGTTACGCATTGATTTCCCTGATCCTGCTTTCCAACATGCACCATCTTTTGAAGTCACCAAATAATTTCAGATAAATTTGACAGATCAAGGTCTCAAAAATAAGAAAAGCCTACAATTATGAGAAAATAAGCAACAGAGTAGAGGAAAGAGGCTTCCACTGATGAAGTAGCTGCTCAACCTATATTACAACCGAGAGCCACAGGATTGCAGGACTGCTGGGATTGGAAGGGACCTCCTACGATCACCACCTGTCTTAATTTTTGCCCATTGCTTCCTGTCCTGTCACTGGGCACTACAGAGAAAAGTCCAGCTCCCTCTTCTCATTCTCTCTCATCAGGTTTTTACAGCCCCTTGAGCCTTCTCTTTGTGGTATACAGTCTCAGCTTTCTCACTTTCTCCTCTAATGAAAGATGCTCAGTCCCTTCATCATCTCCACGGGGCTTAGCCAGACCCACTCCAGTAAATCTGTATCTTTCTTGCACTGGTGAGCCCAGAACTGGAGCATCCAGAAGAACTTGGTCAGACCCATAGATTTACAAAGTATCAGTCTATGAGGCACTGCAATATCTGGAGTGGTAAATCTCTTCCTGCTCAGGTTGAAAGGCACCCTACTTGTACCCAATCCTTAATCTTACTTAACAACTCCTCCCCACGTAACTCACAGGACTGGGCTAAGAGCAAACCCTAACACAAATAGGTCATTGTCATCTTGTTGGCTACTAGTTTACTATGTACATGGCCACAAAGACTGCTACATTAATAAAAACAATGATTTTCATTCCATTCCTCTAGCTATTTTTATTCAAACCACATAATGGCCTTTACCACTAATCCTGTGATATGACCTGCAGCAAATTAAGTAGACAATTTAAGTCAAAGCTTACAAACAAAATCCAGTACTATCCATCATAGGTCAATAGCCTTGTATCTAGATTACAGACTGCTAAATAGCTTCAGAGAGTCATTTATTAGAGCAAAATTAATGCTGACAATAGTTTTCAGCTGGTTAATCTTCTGACAGCTGCACTCTCTCACTTGTTCAAACGCTTACTTTTCAAGTATAAAAAATAAATTAGTTAAGTAGAAAAAAAAAAGAGCAATTTGTTGTATAATGTAGAAGGCTTGGAAAATTCTCTTTAAAAAACCAAAAACTCATTTAAATTAATTTAAAATTTAAATTTAAATTCAATTTAAAACCTGGTAATTTTTTTCATCCAGAATCCTTGTCAACTATCAGCTATTTTATCAGAATTAAACAAGCAACACAGCAAATTTGTAACGCTGGCAATTAAAAAAAACCCACCCCAAAATTGGCAGGGAGTCTAGCAGTGCAGAAACTAACTTCAGCTAAAAATAGAAATAAAAAATCATGAGATGGGAACGCACAGCTTTATTTCACAATCACAGATTCCATACCAACAACACAAGCCAGTAAAGTATTATCAGGTTCTAATACTAAAGACAGAAATGGAGAAAGCGGAGCAGCTGATGTAACTTAAAAAAGCTAATGATTATTTTCCATATTTTGATTTTTTTAAAGACATTTTACCTCCTAAGGCACTGCTTTATGTACCACTGCTGATTAATCCTTCAGAATCTATTTGCTCTTTCTAAGATACTAAAAGCCTCTTCTCATTGTCAGGGATAGTTTTCTGAGAAACTGTACTTGTGATTAGCATGTGTAAGACTCCCTCCATTGCAAAGCAAGACTGCTGGAGCCCATGGCTGCAGTCCTACATGTGGCCTCTCTAGTATGACTTCCCCACATCTTTGTGCAGAACCCTTTAAGGAGGTCACACCAACAGATCCCACAGAGTAGCTCAGTAGGTCATACATCAAGTCAGATGGTCATAACACCACCAGAATTTTTCCCAGAGACATAAACTGTCAGGAACAGGTCTGCAGATAAATATTATAAGAGATCTAGCTAGTGAGGTGGCATGCAAAAAGTTAATCCGTGATAAAACATGGTGAGAAGTTACAGACTAGCAGTGCACTATGGCATACGTATCTAGAGATGGGTTTCCCACTCGGGAATAGAAAGTTTTGGACTAAGATCTGAAAAATTAGTTTATCAAAAGAGGTACATAAACAACTGCTCTTCAAAGCATCCTGTTGCATCTGGCTGAGTTACCTGTGGGGCAAGGAACAGTTCAATCCACATGATTCTCACTTTGATTGCCAATGGATTGCTCAGTGAACCTGGTGCAGAGCAATTACTGAGTTCAGAATATAAACGAAAATGTGAATGGAGGCTTAGAAGCCCACATATGAGAACAGTAACTGGTTGCAGATATCTTGGGACAGTTTAGAGGTGACCTAACAAGCTTTAGCCTCCAGGCCAGGCAGTTCAGTAGCCAACTTACCCTTCAATACTCACTCTTCTGTGCTTATTACAACAGTTTTTAACATGTTGGAAAAAGTCTTGTAATTTGCCACTCATGTTTCCAGATTAAGTGTCTTAACTCCATAGCTACATCATTAAAGTATC